AGGTGGTGGGGGAATGCAGACAGACCCTCCCTCCCTGGGCTCTGCTGCACACGGTGCGGGTGAACGTGCCCATGGGCAGGCGGGCAGCTAGTTGCCTTCTCTGGCTCCACAACCAGGAATGGCTCCGTCCTGGCCATGGAAACCTGTGCAGCTGCCAGAAAGTGTCTCTTGTGCCTCACGTCCAGACAGAGGATCTGGTCCCACCCAGCGGGCAGAGGAACAGAGGTGCTCTGCCATGGGAACCCTGGCTGACTCAGGGCCGCCTGGGCACAGAGGGCCGCCTGGAGCCGTGTGGCTCCTGCAGCTGAGACTCGGGTTGCCTCCCTCCTCCTGGCGTGGCTCTGAAGGACGGCTGCCCAACCCCGAGCTCTGGATGCAGAGAGGGCCTTCTGCCTGCCTCAAGGGGCCCGAGGGCCCCTGCGCTTCAAGGAGGGCTTCCCAGAGAATCCCCCGGGGCCGAGCTTCTTCCGGGGGGGGGGTGCCTTCCATTTTGGTTTCCTGCCTCAGGCACCAAGCGGTCTTCGGCTGTCCCCGCCTGGCTGGCTTCCTGTTTAGGTTTCTGCGAACTGCTCTTCGCTTCCGTTTCTCTCCCAGCGAGGCGCGCCACACCCGCGCCCCGGGCGCTTTCCTCTGCAGATGTGACGAAAGGTGGCAGCGATGTGGGGAAAGCAGCTGGGGGGATCTTCCCTTCCTCTGTGGGGCCAGAAGGGAACCCACAGAACAGAGGTTGGAAATGGGAAAGCGTCTGGGAGCCCCTTTTCCAACTACCTCCTTGTATTAAAAGGCAGAAGCTTTTGTGAATAGCGACTCGCTTCATCAGAGGCCGCATCTCCTGAAGCTTCTGCTTTTTAATAAAACGGGTTAGTGGGAAAAGGGGGTGCCGGACTCCTCGGGTTTTTGGCTACCATAATCCAACAGGGCTCTACAGTGAGAACAGAGGTCAGGAACGCTGGCTGGCTGGCTGGCTGGCTGGCTGGCTGGCTGGCTGGCTGGCTGGCTGGCTGGGACAGCCCTGAGATACCTCCCAGTCTCTCCTGGCCATTTATCCATGATGCAAACCCTCTGGTGTCTGCTGTAACCTCAGACAGGGCTGCCTTGGTCGGGAGCCTTTCCATAAGAGAGATTCTGTGGAGCAAAACAACTGGGAAAGGTGATCTCCAAGCCCAGAGCAGCCTGCAGACCCCCGGGGCTATGGGGAGCTGGCCCCAAGTTCTCCAGAGTGGAGGTTCCCTGTCCAGGAAAGCAGAGCCCCTTCGATTCTTCCTAAAGCTACGACTCAGCAATTCTGCTGGCTGAAAACGCCACACCTTCTCCCAGGGCACCTTCCTGGCTGTTGCCAAGGGCAGCCGAGACAAAACCCACTCCCTTTTATCCTAGGGACCACCTGAGCATAGGTGCACCCTCAAATTGGCACAAGCTTCCTTTGCAGAACAGGAAACGGGCCTTCCAGATGGTGCCGGGCAGGACTTGCCCAGGAGAAAGAATTTAAGGTCCGGGAGGGAGGGGGTGTCCCCTCTTCTGGACACAATGAGGCGGGTGGAAGGCATTCCTGGCCCCTCCCGTTTCCTACTTGCTCAGGAGCAAAGCCGGGGCAGCTTCTCAGATGGGAGACGCTGATGTCTCCCCGCAGCCCCGCCTGGACATCAGCCTCGTTAATCTCCCGGAGGCCTCCTGAGATGTTAGCACAAGGACACCTGCTTTGGAGGGTTGGTTATCACAGCAGATAAAGGGGTTGGAATTGGGGAGTACTGGGAGTTGAAGTCCATACATTTTCAAACTGCCAAGGTTGAGAAACACTGTTCTAGAGACCTGCTTCCACAACTCCCATTGTCCTAGCTAGCTGTGATGACTGAGGATGGTGGAAGCTGCAGGCCCGCACATCTGGTGTGTCAGCCTAGGAAAGCCTTCCGCATGGTCAGATGGAGAGCCCCGAGGCATTTTGATTTGATCCAGGCGGTTTTTTGCTGTATTGATTGATGGGTCATCAATTCAGGGTTGACTTTCAGCGACTAGATCAATTTTCTCCATGACAATCTGGTCCTTCAGGCATTCTAATGGTGCCCACATCATCATTGTAATTGAGTCCCTCCACCTTGCTGCTGATCATCCTCCTCTTCTCTTTCCTTCCTCCGTTTCCAGCATCAGAGCCTTCTCCAGAGAGCTGGGTCTTTGCATTGATTGATTAATTATATGCCATCAAGTTGGGGTCAACTCTTAGGGACCACATAGATGGATTTTCTCCATGACGATCTGTCCCTAACCTGGTCTTCCAGTGGTGCTCCCATCACCAGTGCAGCTGAGTCCATCCATCTTGTTTCTTCTTCTCCTTCCTTCCACCTTTCCCAGCATCAGAGCCTTCTCCAGAGTGCTGGGTCCTTTCGTGATCTGTCTGAAGTCGGATCATTTGGGCCTGGTCGTTTGTGCCTCGAGTGAAAACTTGGGTTGATTTGCTCCATGTCCATCAGTGTGTTTTCTTGGCTGACCTTTTTGCTGTATGACAATGTAGTAATTCAAAATGACAACAAACAATGAACAACCCAAATTTTTCAGAGATATAAATCTGTTGCCATAAAAGCAGCCAAGACTCGTGTTGCACCTTGAAAGCTAACCGATTCATACGAAAACACCCGAAGTGTGAAATGTTTATTATGGCACCTGCTACCAGGCTTGTTAGAGTTTTGTTGCAACCAGCTTACACAAATGGCACTCTTCTGGAAATTAATTTCACATTGCCCACAAAGGCATGCATTTGTGGGCCCTGAAGGTAACACAAGTTAACAAAGAAAGAAAAGATTACAGGAGGTTTTGTACATTTTTCTTTGCAGTGAAATTAGGAAAGCTTTCTGCTAACTGATTGCATGAATTCAGCTGCTAAGGAAGCTGGGAGCGCCGCAGGTCAGCCGCAGAGCTCTTGCTCGCCCCAAGAAAAGTCCCCTGGTTCAGGCTCACCGGGGAAAGCTGGACCAGGCCGCTGTCCGAAATCCAGGCGAGCTGGACAGGGCTGAGCAAGAACTGCATAGCCACCTCAGCCTGAGGCAACTGCCTATCTGGCTAGCGGTTTCTGGCCACCCCCTTGAATGCAGGGGGCAGGGAATGAATTGCGGACCCCCAAAGAGCCCTGCTGTGCGCTACCCCTCCAAAAAAAGCCCTGCAGCAGCAGACTAGTGGCCCACCGAGACCCCCAAGTGATGGCCCTCAGCAAGATGCGAGTCATCTCTTGCTCCCGCCTCTCGGTTGTCGCCTGTGGGAGCAATTCGTGCTGATTCGGACCAGGCAGAGGCAAAGTGGGGCTAAACGCAGCAGTGATGGCGGTCGTACATATGCGCAGCTTCC